TTCTTTCCTTTCCTTTTTTTTTCTTGCTTCAGATAAGCGGTTGAGTAAGTGAGTAAGTGAGTAAGTAAGTAAGCGAGTGAGTAAGTAAGTGAGTGAGTGAATAAGTGAGTGAGTGGGTGGGAGAGGTTTGGAAGAGAGGTAGCGTTCATTAATTTGTTTTATTTATTCATCTTATTTATTCACAATTCGATCATCTATTGTATTGTATTCCTGGAACACTTGCTTACGTTTTAGATCGCGAGACGGGGTTGGTAGCAGTAATAATAGTAGTAATGGTAGTAGGAGTAATAGTAGCAGTAGTAATAGTAGTAGCAGTAGTAATAGTAGTAGTAGTAGTAGTAGCAGTACAATAAAACCCAACACCCAACCAAAGCACCCGCTCGCTTGCTCATTATCATCATCATCATCATCATCATCATCAACAACAACCACTTACCTACCCGAAACCCACCCAACAGCAAGCAAGCAAGCAAGCCCCGCATCCAGCCACACGCGGCACATCCCGCCCGCTCGGGAACCACCACGAACCCACGCCACGCCACGCCACGCCACGCCACGCCAGCCCGCCTAGTACGCACCCGCGAAGAAAAATCCTCGTGCATTGCGTACCGGTATCATATCACCGCGGGACGCCATAACGAGATGCGGTCCGAGCGGGAGAGGATGGCGGAGATCTGGAGTGTGCGGGGGCTTGGGGGGTGATGTCTAGCATTTGGAGACGGGTTTTCGGGCGGGGGTGGAGCGGGTGGTGCGGAGGGGATTTCTTGTATGGGCTGTGTGGCTGTATGGTTGTGTTGCGCCTGGCTTTCTTTTTGGAAGCGGCTAGGGAGGGTTGTGGCGGGAGTTGTAGATAGGATGGGTTTGGATGGGTTTGGATGGGTTTAGATTAGACTAGATGAGACTAGCCTAGCAGACGATTCTGCCTGATTTGCCACGGCAAGCTGAGAGAGCCAAACGGGCTAGGAAGGAGCCAGCCAGCCAGCGCTCTCGCCTCGAGCCAAGTATATAGATTACTAAAAGCACTTTTGGCAACGGATCGTCTAGCATGAGCGTGGCGGCTCTGGACAAAAAGACTGTTACAGTGGTTGGCTGAATGCATTTTCATTCTGGACCGACAGGGGATCTTGTCTGTATCGAGAAGTAACCCTAGCCAAGGACCACGTTCCGCGACCCGCTTTAGGAGGCTCCATCCTCCATCGGGTCAAGACGGACTGCGTGAGCAACGGATGGATCGGCGTTGATGTCCGGATCCAAGAACTAGACTGCACGTATATGACTACTCTGATCGCGGGAAGCGTGGGCATGGAGTTCGAGGCCAGTGGTGATCATGGCGAAGCACTAGACACCGTCAAGTCGCTTTCTGGATGGTGGGCGTACATGAAGGCGGAAGACTCCAAATCTTGCGAGAAGGATCAGCTTGAGGCAGAGACAAAACCCGAGGGGGATCAAATCGGTGCGGTCACCGACCCAGCTCTTGTCCTAGAGTCACGGAAGAGAATGTGGGCAGATATGGCCGCGAGGCTTGAATATCAAAGATGTGCTCTTTTCGGGGAGATGGTGTCGATATCGCGTTGAAGTGGCCTACTCCCCCCTCCGATGCTAACCGAGAACGCCCCAAAAAGTGTTGAGATTGATGGCCTTTTTTGTGCAGCCGAGGAGAGAGTAACGCATTTCATTCATCAGGCCCCTCAAGTACTTCATCAGATGGTGAAATGACCCGCGCCCTTAGATCTGGGGACGGGTCGAACTTTTTGTCGAAAGGCCACATCGGTCTCCGAATCCTGCGATGTCCCAGCCGCACGATATCTTGGTCCACTCCTCCCGGCGTGAGTCCAAGCATCCAATCTGCAGCCATATCGTACAGTTCCGGCTCCAGGTACCCGATCTTGACAATCACAATGTCGGCCGAGCGAGGCATCAAGTTGAGTTCGGTAAAATCGCTTTCGTGATGGTAAGGTTTCCTCAGCCTAGTGAGAATAGCGAATACACTCCCTGTGTGTATCACGACTTCAACAACAGCATCTTTGTCGCCGTACTTAATGGAGTGGACTTTCCCGGTCATCGTAACGGGCCCGGCGTGCAAATTGTCGATCTCGGCACCCGCTGTTACTGTCACTGTGGCCCCGATCCCCGCTTCTACAGCGATCCGAACAGCCTCCGGGCCCGGTAGGCTGGCATATATTACTGTTGGGCCAGAAGGCTCTTTGAATTCAGTTCGAGCCAAAAGCTGAGTAAGCCCCCACGAAACATCACCAGAACCTCCAGCAGTCGGGTTGTCCCCGGAGTCCGATATAAAATACGGGTGGCGGGCTCCCTTCACCAATGCAGCGTCGAGACACTCTTTGAATGACCCTGTAGGCGCCACGAAAGCGAAGTCTTTGTGAGCTGCCCAGAACATCTTGGCGAGCTTCTCTGCGCCCCTGGACGCAGCAGCCTCGTCCCATCCCGTTGCCACAACCGCTGCACGACTCCGAGGCTCGTCAGCCCAGGCGTACCCGACCCATACGGCGGCATCGATGATCCCATCCATGGCTTCCACCTCACGCACGGCCTCATAGATGTGCTTGGCGGGTTCTAGCCGAGTAGAGGTTTGCTCCCCGGGCAGCAAGATTGGAATAGGAATCCATGCCTTAAACGGTCTCAACGGCCTCTTCAAGCCAGCGCTCCGATCCAAAACATCAACGAGGTTCCTGCAAGCACGCTTCCGCGTCTCCACAACATCGACATGCGGTGCTGTCCTGTAGCACGTGATCAAATCCACCCGATGCACCAGCTCCCTCGAGACATTCCCATGCAAGTCCAACGACGCGGACACGACGACGTCCTTCCCAACCACCTCGCGGATCCGTCCCAGCAGCTCCGCTTCGACATCATCGATGCCTTCCACGCACATGGCCCCGTGGATATCGAACCAGAGCCCATCGAGCGGCCCGCCGACGTCAACAACAATCCTCGTCAGCCGGGCAACAATCTCCCCTGCGAGCTCCTCGTACGCCGCGCGGGTCACCGCGCCCCCGGGCAAGGCGTGGCCGATCAGAGCGCCGTGCCACTCGGCCGTACTGCCCAGCGCTGTCCCGGGCGCGATGAAGGTGTGTTTTGCGAAGATCTCCCGATCGCCGAGTTTGGGGTGGAAGGCTGGCGCGAGGGTCCGCGAGGGGGTGAAGGTTGAGGTTTCGCAGGCGAGGCCTGCGACGGCGATGACGGGTTTGCGTGTCATCGTCCCTTGTAGCCTGCACGGATGGTCGTGGCTCGGGAAGAGGTTGAGGGATGGAATTCCGATGGCCGGGGCTGGGTTTGACGATTGATGACGTCTAGTTATACTTTCGGACAAGCTTTTCGGCTCGATACTTCCGTAGTACTTGGCTTCAGCGGGACCCCCTTAATTAAGCGAGCCGTCGAAAGAAGATAAACAAACAAGCAAACAGAAACGGAATGATTTTAAGATGTATACTTAGGACACGCATTGAAATTACCTGTATCAGCTGAAGAGAAAGTTAGGCCAAGGGAAGTATGTTGTCGCGATTGAGTCTTGATCAACTAGTCTCAGCGGGAATCACGGCGAATCAAAGCAAACGATACAATTTGAAATTCAAAGTTTTAGATATTATATTGAAATTCATCTGTAATCGCGACTCCGTAACTACCTCCCCCCTAGCCCCGAAGGCCATACTACGCCATATCTAGGTATGGCTAGCTAGCTCTCAGCCCAGTCAAAATGCCGCCGCGATTAATACCACTTCTCCCTCCGAGGAGCTGCTACGCCGTGAGCTTTCCACGGTGGTTCGCACAGGCGACGTTCCCAGACCCCCCCTCACCCAGTCCTCGGGTGAGCTTCCGCGGCGCCGTGAACTTTTCATAGATCGTATAGGTGACACCACCGGACCTCTCCTCGACCAAGTCTCCGCTTCGCTCGATCTCCTCGCCTCGGATTGCGGCTCAGGGTATCCTAGGATAGAACCAAATGTGGAGAGGGTCCCGGTTGATCCGGAGAGCCACCGCTCGATCTTGCTGACCGGTTCTCTGTTGGCTGCATCGGAGCGATCTTGTTTAGGTGCAAAAGAGGGTGGGCGACTTTCCTGAGATGGTGCTGGGGATGGTGGGATGTCTAGAGCTGGAAGGGTGCTTAGGGACTTGCGCAGCTGGGCTATTCGTCCAGGGTATGAGAGTGCCGAAAGACCGCCCTCGGTATCTATCGAGGATATAGGCCGTGCTGGTGTCCCGATGGGTAACGCGATGGAGGAAACATCTTCGAAGGGATTCGCAGATGATATGTGGTCGAAACTGGATAGTGCCGGAGCCGGTCGAGGAGAGAGGTTTCTGAATTGAACTGGAATCGACGAAGTAGGTGAGTAGAGGCTAGGAGAAGGCGGTTCGAATGTGGCGCTGAAGTCCGATGAGGACCATAATGATCTGGTTTGCAAGCGTTCATACAATGGGCGTGTGGTGCTGCGCGATCTTAGTGCGACAACTGGAGATGGGGTTGAGGTTCTGCGTGTCTGCATTGTTGAGAGTTGACTTATGGGCATCATCCCGGCTCTGTAGTATGGCCCAAGCGCTAATGATGAAGGTTGAGACATCATGGACGGCCCGCCAGCGGCTTCGAAGATGTTAGGTAGTGAAATGGAACCCCGATCGGGCCGTAGAGGTGCTCCTGGTCCTTGCTGGCTCGGAATTGTTCGCGATGGCTTTATTCCAGGTGGGAAAAGAATGTGCGCTTCCAATGACGATGCATTATGTGGAGTCTTCGGGACCATTGGGGCCATTGGAACCATTGGTGATTGTAGAGTGGCTGCAGGTGTTTGCAGATCAAATGACCGCGTACGAACGTAAAGGCTTTCCTCTTCGCCGTTGTCTTTGTACATTCCCAAGGACAATTCGGAGGAACCGAAGGGCCTGGAATATTTGACTTCTCGTCGACCTTGTTCGACATCCCATTTTCGCCTGGAATGGGCTCGCTGACATTGGCGAACAATAAAGCCAATGGAAAGTCCGATAATGGAGGAAATCAAAATGGCAAGTAAAATCATTATAATCATATACTCTCTCTTCGTTTCCGAATCGATGATCGAGCCAAGCGCCTGTCATTCATAGGTTAGCTAGGAAAGCTTCAAAAAAAATGAATCCGGACTTACAGGTTCAGGGGAGCCGGATATCTCGAATACTTTCAACTTGGCAGCCGAATTTTCCGGAAGGTAGTCATCTGCTTCGAGCATAGTAACTCGATTCAAAGAACCGTAAATTTCACGGGAGATTGGAGGCATGTTGGATAAGAAATTTCGTCGGATTGAGATCAGTTCTTATATCGTGTTGTTATTCCCAGCGATCGATGTCATGCGATATTGAGGTGACCGACTTGTAACGGGATATTTAATTATAGTGAAGTAGCGAAGTGTATGCGTATACTGTACAATGGGATGACTATCAAAGAATCTGATATCTTCCACGGACATTAGTGTTTGTTAGATGTATTTCCGTATCTAGCAGGCGATGGAAGGTCTTTAGTACAGAGCTAGAAACTCCATGTAAGTTTTTCGGTCTGAAATATGCATCTCTCTAGCGCCAAAACCTGCGAATCGCATTTCGGGATGCATTTTGGGATAAAACGGTTCGCTCCTGCGCATCAGATGCCTCTTTTCCATATGCCTTACCGATCATCAATTGGGCCAACCAGGACTTCAGATGGTCGCCGTTCATTGATTTCGCTATGGACGAAAGTCCAGTTCTCTCGTCTGTTAACCATCCGAATGATTCGTCCGCGATGAGAGTCGAAACCCTCTATCAGCGAATACGACAAGTAGTTTTGATGACGTATATCTAGGCTCTTTGTGACAGTGCTGCCAGAGCCTCGCCGAAACATGGAGTGGAGCATTGTCCGGAGCATGGCCCGCACTCTAGTAGCTGGGGCAACATGCCTTCCGCACGGGCAAAGCACGAAACGGCAAACTCGATATACACACCGTGAAAGATCCAATGAACTCGATTGCCGATCATATGCTGCACCCAGAAACGAATGGCAATAACTTCGTTGATGCTTGGCAAGGTTGTTGGAGGTCTCGTCGTTTCGAGCAAACTGTAAAACACCTCCAGTAGTTTCTTCGCTAAACCTCGTCATTCAGCTAGTAGTGACCCTTGATATAAAGCTTGGCTAACGTCATGTTTGACCGTGATGATGGACTTGTATGAAACCCATTTCAGCACCCAAACAAGCATAAGGAAAGCTACTGAGCCACTATAACGTTCTCGCCAGGTCGAAAAGCTCCGCGAATCCAAAAGCCACATTGCGAGCTTCAGCGCAGTTCTCCTTGCCTCGGAACTGTTTTGAATGCTCCTCGCTAGAGCTCTTTTCCCAACACCAATCTCAATAGCCAGTGAGCACTCCACTTGTCAGGCGAGATTCCTACGACATTTTCTGATCACCCGACGTGACTTTGCCATTTTTTTATCAAAGAACTTGTGTTATCAAATTCTCATTCAAAAAGATTGACCCGAAAGGTTTCGACTTTTAATTGCGCGGAAGACAGTCGTTTATGCATCCGCCAACGAGGTTGTACAACAGGGTAAAAGCCATCGGCCCTGAAGTAGAGAAGGCGGACTCCGTGGCTGAGTACGTGCCTTAAGCGCCCTTATCTTAGGCCTCCCAACAAAGATACCAAGGTGCTCATGGACTCACAGCAATTTTCGTAAAGTTGACTTTTGAGCTTAGGTGTTGAGTTTTGATTTTTTTCAATTTAGATGACGTTGGAATCTGGTCTCGTTTCGCACTGCCTATGCCTTTGGAACATCTGCGACCTTTGCTGGCGTACGAGCCATCGTTGTGATTGCAAGTACGGTGTGCTGAGAGTGGAAGGTACGTTAGCTTAAACTGGAAGAGCTTACAGAAGTCTGTAGGGTATCAAAAAAAAAGGGTGGGGGGGGGGGCAATAATTGCGTCAGAATTTCAATCCATTTCAAAAAATAATTTTTCTCCGAAAAAACCTTTGTTGTAGAGTTGATGACTTGAGGTGGTGCTTCCGATAATGCTCGCACCTAATATTGGGGCGCCGCCGCGCCGCCGCCAAGGCTCCAAAATTTACTCATGAACTTCGGCCTTTGCAGGGCTTCGGATCAATATATGAAAGGTTTTATCGGGTCACCTAAAGCCGTGTCAGTAAAAGCCAGCAGCTCCGCGAGAGTACTGATTTGCTGAACGGTAATACGGCTCGGTGTAGCGTGCCGGGTGTATCGGCCAATGGCTCCGCGAGCATACTGACCATCGGTATACAGGGTTCCGGATCACTCACAGCCGTATCGGCATAAGCCAGCACCTCCGCAAGTGTACTGACTTGTTGTCTTACGGCTCGATAGAGCCTGCCGGGACCTTTTTGACTTTTACCATGCACAGCGAATTGGCTCCAGTATCTGACGAGACGCTCAATTTTCAGCTCTCTATCCCACTGAGGACTGTTTTCAGAATACCGAATAACAGTATGGTTATCACGATAGCTGCACCCTGAGCATTTAGATATTTTAATTGAAGTCCCGGTCGGGACCGTCAAGTGATATGGGGCATTGTTGTCTAGCAACGGCACTCGCTAGCGCCCTCGCTTCCGGAGAAATAATAACAAAGACCCACCACGTCGATTCTCAACGATCGATGCGCAAAAAGTGCAAAAGCAATGTCTAGAGAACCCCCCTCTCCTTCTCTAGAAAAATTTCGACCTCAAAAAACGATGAAAAGAAGGCAAATAAAATTGGTAGCTTCTCTTTGATTGAGCGTGTCATCCTTAGTGCAGGGGCCATGCTAATCTTCTCTGTATCGTTTCAAATTGACCACTGCTTTAGTCAGTATACTACTGAGCCATCAGACCTTGGGGCAACTTACAATGTCCCGAAGGACAAAAGGCCAACTGTAGTCAGGTTATATAATACCGGCTGAAATTTCTCCGACATTAAACCGCCGACATCTGAGGCCATGCTCATATCAGGCAGCAGCCTGGAGCCTTGAGTTGCAGAGTCCCAATTCGGAGACGGCAATCCAAGCAAGCTTCGTGGATACAACAGAATAAACTATTTTCATACGTCATCGATATTGAATGGATAGATAGCATGAATGATATATAAATATCGTAAAGCATAAAGTAGAAACACTAAGCCAGCGCCTCTAGGCGATTAAAACAAACACGTTGATCTTGACTATCTCATCTTTTCAGCTGTCCTGCACCAACTTCGACCCTTGACACCAAGATCCATTGCATGTTTCTTCTCATCCGTGTAGCAAAGACTTTCGCACTGCTTAGGAACTATATATGCCACCTAAGACGTGAACGCTAGTATACCATACTGCGCACGCGAGGGCTGTAATCGGTTGGAAATCTCGGCGGATCCAGATAATTGAACAATACGAATATTTATTCAAAAGACACCAATTTTTTTTCAAATGCGAAATATTGATTACAAGGGCATTGGAGTATCTAATTTCAAAGAATGCCAGTATGGTTTAACGAGCAGTACCGAAAAGGGAAAGAGGCGGTGTATATTAATGACTTATACTGCAAGATGAGAAATAGTGCAAAAGCCGATGTATATTATTCGTTTATTAATATGAATGACAAAGACGCTCAAAATCCACTCGCAACCTCGAGTATATGCAATACATACTATAAAAGAGAGCGTATTACAATCACCGATTCAACACTTGAATACACGGTCCCTTCCGCCCCGAATGCCAAAGCTTTCTCGTCAGAGAATTCAACTAACACACTAACGCACAGTCAATAATATGCTCTCTAAACGAAACAGCCCATCACCGGGATGATACATACGCATCTGACAGTCTATTCTCACAACGTTAGCTTGGATCCCAGTCATTCGAGCAGGTGAGATACTTACTCCACCGGTACAATCGACGCTGGGTGTGTAGGTGATGCAGTCGCCGCGGTATGTCGGGGTGTCGGGAGTCTGAAGCTCGCTGCACTGTATTCATCCATGGATTCTGTCAGTCGCTCATGATCCTGTGAAACCGGGGAGGGGGGAGGGGGAGGGAATCAAAACTTACGCAGAACTGGTACTCTCCAAGGCAGTTGACATTTGGGTATGAAGTGCCGCCGCTGCAGTAGGCCGGTTGTCCGGCGCGGACTCCGGCGTGGACGACTCCGGCGCTCAAGGCGAGGATGCTGAGAATGGCGGTAAACTGCATGGCTGTTAATTTATTGATGGACAAGATCTATATCGAGGTGTAAGATTCTTTTATCTTCTTTTGGAAGGGAGTTGAGGGTAAGGGCGGGATTTTATGGCATTACTACCTTCGAGTCTCAGAATCCTTTGCCGAGTCGAAGGAGCATAACATTGCATAATGGAAGGATTTCGCAGCTGAGTTAAATCAATCTACGCAACGATCGAGGACCCTACTGACAGGTACGTACAACTACCACAGTACAGCTTAATTATCGCCTGAGGGTGGCTCAAAAGCTTACAACTTCACTTTAAGCCCCCTGGTTCCCCAACCCTCAGGCGGTAATCATTACGCATGGGACTAGGAGGTAGTAATTGGATTGACTTTTGAAATAGGATTTCGGAGGCTCGATTGACTTGCTTAATTATCTAATGGAAATTCGGTGTAGAACGCTTTGGTGTTAGGAACCAGTAGCTGGATAGCTTTACCATTGGGCTTAACGGGCCAAAAAGGTACAATAACTGAGAACGCTACTCTACTATATATAGAAAAACGCCTTAGTCAGCTCACCTGACTAAGCCTTCTACTCTTGACACTTGGCTTGTCTGCATTTCGGCTATAAGAGATAGAGATCTTGCAAGCATATAAAATGTTAAACGGTTTCCTTGATTCTTTGTTTTAATCTAGCTACCGGTACATTTCCGAGTTTTATTTGCAATAACGCCAAGACCACGTGCAACCACGCCAACCGACCCTAATCGTTCGATATTCTCTCTTAGCGGAGTGCACTATAAAGCTATTCTTAAGTTCATTTTAATCCTGATCCGTTAAAAAGTCGAAATAACCGATATAACGGACCAACATAACCGATATGTAGCAATTTTGATTAACAACGTCATTTCCGATACCAAAAGCAAGCGTAAATCTTCGTATAATTATTAGCGCTTAGCTTAAAATTTTTCCGATTTCTATAAGTTCCGCTACTCCGACGTATTATTTGCTTTGCAGATTTTCTCGGCATCGATATTCGAGGTGACCTTTTCGATTGCAAATCGTATAAGTTGTTAAGTATTGATAATCACCGAAATGAGGCTGATCGCACGTATCGCATTTTGTAATTTTTCATTTCGTACGTGCGGCCGAATCCTTTTCGATGCTTCGAAATCCTTCGCTAACGGCCGTTTTCGATTTACAGTACTACGTACTACGTACGTACTTGCACTCACCGAGATTGATTACAATCAACATTTTCATACCAAGTATATACGTAGTAGTGCAACGTTGTAACTCGACCCTCTCGAAAATACTACTTACCTTAGTAAAAACCTCTGTTTCGTATCCTCAAGGTGTAATAATTACGCCTATAACGTTGTACTCAAAACAGTTCTGCTTACCACCGAAAGCAGCCTCGAGCCTCTTCCTCGGTTCTCGAACCCCGGACCGTCTAATGTCTTTTTCGACGCTAATGTTACCGACAAGCATGCTAAAAGCAAGGAACTACTACTATACAGTACCGACATTCAGCCCCCTTAGCCACTCCTTCGACCTTCGGAACAGCCAATCCACGGCGCCTATTCCCCCTTTATTAACAAGGCTGAGCCTCCCCCCAGTCAACCCCCACGTACTCCAGTTGAGTTCAACACCTCTGGAGCCGCCTACTCAGCTTCCTTCAATCTTTACTCTCGATAGTTTCTGATTTCACGCAATAAATCATAATCTTAAGATCTTCCTGAGCTCCATATGATCTCCCGCTCTCCCGTGAGTTCCTCAAGTAGTCGCTTAAGATTGTCGCACTATCTCTTCTGCTTTCATAACGTCTTGTTTTCGCATTACTTTCGCTCGAAATATCGATATCGCTTTCGTTAATATGATCTTATAAATTAGATTCATATCAATCTTTGAAACGAATCGTTGCTGCTAAACCTAAGCATTAAATTCAAAAGTATTCGAGTATTGAACGTCCAATCGTTTTTCGTGTTTTCAATCTTTTCGTTTAATAGTACAATGCGAGTAAAGGATTCTTTGATTATATATCTGCTAATTTAAACAGTGAAAAGTTCTCGATAAGCCGAATAAAAAGTTCATATCGGCATCGATTTAACAATCAGTTTGTAAATCGTAGAGCGGTGATTTCTGAATGGCTCAAAGCATTATCAACTCCATTGCATAGATTAAATACCGGCTCAACGATACTACGTTTCAAGGCTGAATGAATCCTTACTCCGTATAAGTTGATCTGTTTGAGAGCTGGTAAGATCCCTTGCAACTTTATACTTTCGACATGTACTTATCCGTGGGGGGAGGATGAGTAACCCCCTCATCCATGCGTCGATCCTTTTCTAAGTAAACCGGGCACGGCGGCGGCAGCTCTACGAAAGATCTGCCGGGAAATCAACATCCCTCATTGCATATATCCTCTCCCCTCCTCCCGCACCGCCCCCGCGCCCCTGAATGAATCGGCCCGTCTTCTTAAAAATGCCACAATTTCCACGACGAGAGAACAAAACAGGATAAATAGATCATATGTAAAATCTCTATATATTAAACTAGCGATCTACATAATTTGAACTTTCCAATTCAAACTCGATACAGCCGCGTATCCAAAGACAGAGGACTCTCCGGTCCCGACTCCATCGAGGTCTGTATAAGGTGGCAGGGGGATCGCGATAAGAGACGGTATAATACCAAAATACAAATTCCGTGCCGTCAAGAGCAAGCTTTTGCATCCGCGCCGTTATCCTTATCCATATCTAAAACGAATAAATAAAACAGAACAAAAAGGCAAACCATCCCTCGCTAAACTCCGTCTTGTGTATCGATAATACTACGATCTAGACAAACAAATGAAAAAGAAAAAGAATCCCAACTCCGGGAGTTGTGATCAGTATCGCCGTCTACTCAAGGTCTTCAAACTCGCCGTCCCCGCGCTGTTCCGCAGCACCTCCCTGATCAGGGAGCCGAGCCCGACCGACAAGCCCGCCTTCTGCACCTCCTCGACCCAGTCGTCCAGCTCGCGGACGGCCAGCTTCCGCCCGAACTTGTTCTCCAGGTAGGTACCGAGCTCGCGGATGCGGACGCGGTCGTCGCCACAGTGGTTCTTGACGACGGCGCCGTCCTGGCTGCGGGCGAAGAGCGAGTTGACGAGCAGGTACGCGACCTCGTCGACCTCGACGAACTGCATGTGGCCGTCGATGCCGGGCGTGCGGGGCACGGCGCCGACCCGCATCGAGTATTCGAGGATGTTGGCCGTCATGTTCACGCTCGCGGCACCCTCGCCGAGGATGTTGGACGGCCGGTGCACCCAGACCGGTAGCCCAAATTGAGTGGCGGCAGCGACGAGGTATTTCTCGCCCGCCCACTTGCTCGCTGCGTACCCCATGCTTCCGTCCACCGGGGGAGGGCAGTCCGGGATGAAGCGCTCGCCCAGGTCCTGCTCGGGTATAAAAGAGGCCACGCCCGCCGTGGATACGAAATGAAAGGGCGTTTTGCGCACCATGGCCAATCTGACGAGCTCCTTGGTCGACCCGAGGTTGGAAGCGGACAAGGACTTGTAGGACTTAAGGAACGAGACGTCGCACCCGTTGTGGATAATGCGGTCGGCTTTCTTGGAGAGCTCGGTAAACTGCGCGTCAGTAAGGCCGAGACGCTCGGACGCTAGATCGCCGTAGTATTTTACTATCTTGGATGATGCGATGGGGAGGGAGCGTGAGGTTTTGCCGTCGGGGAGACGGATCGCGATGCAGTGGATTTTGCCGACGCGTTCGTCGGCTACGAGTTCGCGGAGGATTTGAGTGCCGAGGAACCCGGTGGCGCCGGTGAGTATGACTTCCACATAAGATCTTGAGACCGGTCGCAGGCCGAGGGAGTGAGGGGAAGGTTCAGAGAGTCGGGGGTCAAGGGCCGTCTCGGAGTCCCAGTTGATGACTACTGTGGTCTCGACTTGGGAGACGGCTTCGATCTGGGCGGCCATACTCTCGAGCGTGCTAGACTGGAAGAGGGTATAGAGGGCGATGTTGGCGTTGAAGGTGTCCCGGATCATGGCTTGCACGTTCACAAGGAGCATGGAGTTGCCACCGAGGACGAAGAAGTCTGAGCCGCCGCGCACACCGGCAACCGAGACACCAGCTGGCAAGCAACGACTCCAGATTTCCTTGAGAGAAGCCTCGGTCATGGTGAGGTCAATTGGCGCGGAGTCCTCGAATTTTTGCTGAGAATCTTGAGATGGCAAGTCGAGGGCGGCAAGTGCGCGCATATCTATCTTGCCATTCGGTGTTCTGGGTAGGATGTCCAAAGTAACGAAAGTGTTGGGTATCATAGCAGAAGGAAGTGGTAGTCCCGCAAGGAACTTGCGGGTATCGGTGATCTGCCGGCTAAGCACTGCGAAAGCAACAAGGAAAGCATTGTCACCCTCTCCACGGAGGCAGACAGCTGCCTCGGTGATCGCGCCCTTGGACTCTCGCACAATGGTTGATCGGATGTCGTCGAGTTCGATGCGGACACCACGAAGTTTAACTTGGTTATCACCAGCTATGCGACCGAGGAAGACGAATCGTCCGTCCGGAAGCATCTTGGCTCTGTCGCCGGTGCGATACATGCGGTTCCATCCTTTGGCGAGATCAGCGTCGGATGCGAATGGATCGGCGACCCATTTCGCAGCCGTCAGTTCTGTCTGGCCCAGATAGCCTTGCGAGATGCTTGCACCGCCGCAGACCATCTCACCTGGGAAACCGACCGGTACGGGGTTGAGATACTCATCGAGGATATAGGTAGAGTAGTTGGGAAGAGAGGACCCGACGATCATGTTTTGCTCGCTAGCGTGGGGATCTTGAAGCGGAATCTCCCAGGCGGAGTTGATGATCGTTATTTCTGTAGGCCCGCAAGAGTTAAGCAGTCGCAGATTGGGCAGGTTGACTTTCTGGAATTGCTGAACGATGGCACTGGTGAGCGGTTCGCCGCAAGAGAATGCGGTACGCCAAGCAGTGAGCTGTTGAAGGAGCACCGGGTCTTGGCGAAGAATTAGGGCGTAGACTGAAGGCGTGACGATCGTATAAGTGACCTGGTGTTCGACCATGAGATTAACGAGTGCCATAGGATCAGTTCTAGTCTGCAGTGATGCAACGACCAGCTTTCCCTGGGAGGCAACAAATTGCATCATTTGAGCGAGAGAAAGATCAAAGCCCAGGTTAGTTGGCTGCAAGACGACTTCTCGGCCAATGTCCCATTCTTTATTGACACCGTAAATGTGATTAATGAAGTTGGAGTTGGTGAGAAGTGTTCCCTTAGGTGTACCTGTAGTACCGGAAGTGTATATGACACAAGCTATCTCGTGTGGCTTCGACATATCCTCGGTGTATTTAGTGCGTCTTCCGCCTATATCTGAAAGTTTGAAGATGTGGCGGTTAGGGGCCCGAAAAGCACGCTGCGCTACTGCCCAGGTCTGCTCATCGCAAATGATGGCGACTGGCTTGCAGTCATTGACGATAAGTTCCAGGCGAGCAGCGGGGTTGGAAGTATCCAACGGAACATAGATAGCTCCAATCCGAATGACTGCGAGCCAGTAGCAAACGCTCATTGCGCTGGGCTCACAGTTCACGCCGACAAAAGCTTGGGGCTTGACACCGAGTCCGAGCAGATGAGCAGCAATGGTGCTGACCCACGAAGCCATTTCAATCCAAGTCAACTTTCCGCCGACGTTGTCGACAACCGCAATGTTATTCGAGCGAGCTTTGACGGCCCAGTCAAACATCCGGTTGATGGTGATGGATTGATCAATGTTGACCCGTGGGCCAGTACCGATGGTGATAGCCTTGTGTGCTTCCTTAATGCTGAAGACTGATTGGTCCTTGATAGGGAGGGATGGCTTAGATGAGAGAGTCTTGAGAAGGTGGGTGTAGGATTTGAGGACAGTAGAAAGGTCCTCCTCGGAGTAAAGGTAACTTTGAGTAGACACTGTGTGATGTTGATCAGCAATTATTTGAGCCGGATGTCAAAATTTATTTGTGGGCATACCTGTAATCAATGTTGTGCCATCGACAGCCAACTCAACATCGAACTGCAAGTCGTATGGGTTGCTAGCATCTTGGAAGTCAACCACTTCCGCCTCGCATTCGCCGAACGGCACGGATCTCAAGGATCCCATCTTGTAATTCATGAGAACCTGGAACATGGGATTGGATGTGGTGGAGCGGGGGACTTCAAGCTTATCGAGCAAGACATTGTATGGAATCTGAGAATGCTCCAAAGCAGCTAGGGTCTTGTCTCGTGCTTGCTGGGTGAGCTTAGCGAACGATCGGCTCCCCTCAACCTTGAAGCGAAGCGGCAACAAGTTGACAAAGAAACCTAGAGTATCGACATGATCGGGATCGTTCTTATTAGCATCAGTAATACCAATGCAGACATCATCGATGTTCAGCAGCTTGTGTAGCATGGTCTGCAGAGTAGCTAAGTGAAGGTGGAACGGCGTGACGCGGAGCTTTTGACTAGCCGCCTTGAGAGTCGCAGTGAAGGAAGCATCGAGCCTGGCATCCATGATACGGATATTGTACTCCGTCAATGGTTTGCGGGACTTGACGGTGCCGAAGTCGAAGAGAGGAAGCGTTTCAGGAACGTCGGGGAATTCGGACTTCCAGTATGCGACGTCCTTGCTGAGGGCTTGTTCAACAGTTGCGCGCTGCTTATTGGCGTAGTCGATGTATTGATAATTCAAGGGAGCAAGTTTATCTCCCGAGTAGATGGCTGCGATATCGCGAACCAGAATTTGGGAAGAAGTGGCATCCACAGCGATGTGGTGGAATCCCATGATCAGCACGTGGGAGGTAGGGCTCTCGATGAGAAGTGTAGCTTTCATGCTTTCGGCATTCTCGAGATCGTAGCTATGATCATTCGTTAAGTTGAACTCCTCCTTGACCTGGGCCTCGCCGGTGTAAGGCTTCTGCACCATGACGAAGGGAGTTTTCTCAACGGCCCCCAGGTATGCGAGGTAGTTGGTCTTATCTGTAAAGAACGCAGTGCGGAGGGTCTCGTGGCGGTCAATGAGATCGTAAAATGCTTGGTTGAAATCTGCGACGCGGAAAGGACCCTTGATGCGGTATGCGAGCGTGATGTTATAGGTGGCGGGGTTTGTGAGGAAGGATTGGAGGAACCAAAGACGTTCTTGAGAGAACGACATGCGTCCAACACGCTCCATGCCGGGCAGAAGTTCAACGCCGTCGTACTCACCAGTCTCGGATCCTGCTCTTGAAAGCCAGGTAAGGTCCTCGGATAGACCTGGAGTAGATGGTCGCGTTGCGAGAAGGGAAGGAGTGCTAGCTCCAGAAGAAGCCGAAGCCTCGGATGGTGGCGAGGTCCCCTCGGTAATTCTGATCTCAATCTCCCCTGCTGACGCATTAACAATTTTGACGAGGGCACCCGCTTCAGCGCAGAGAGTTTGGATACTCCCTCCACCGAGGACTTTGAGAACAGGCACATCGACATCAATCGAGCTCAAGAACCATGATCTGATTTCCATTGCCATGAGAGAGTCAACGCCAAGCGCCAATAGAGGCTGCTTGACCTCTATATTTTCAGCAGACGCCTGTAAAATCCGGCTCATCTTCTGCAAGAAGTCCCCTTGGATGATCTCAGCCCGCTGCTCAGCAGTGGTAGCTGCAGCAAGGCGTTGCTTGATAGGAAGCGATGATCCTCCCGCAGAAGAATTATCCTCGCCCTCCTCCTTCAGCACCATGTGCGAGAATCTTGGGTTAGATGCGTACCAAGGGTTGTCAGCTGTCGGAAGGGTACTGTTGCGAGGGAGACCAGTGATAATATCGTTAGAGTGTCCGGAGTTTGGACGACCAACCAAGATGCATTCGGCGAACATATCGAGGAATTCAGGCTCAGAAATAGCCATCCACTTCTGTCTTTTGAGAGAGCTCTCGAGAGCTGCATCTTGAGACACGACTCCGATGCCGATGACCATACCAATATGCATTACGGATGCAGTAAGGCCACGGGCGCGACGCTGAGCTGCGATGGTCTGCATATAACCGTTGGCGGCCAGGTAGTTGGTTTGTCCACGATTACCGACTGTGTTTGCCAGTGAAGAAAAGAGTATAAAGAAGTCAAGATCACTTCTTTCGCCAAACAGCTCGTCGAGTTGATTGGTCCCATCCACCTTAGGCCTAAGCGAGATTTGGAAATCCTCAAGAGTAATATCATTGAAGAGTCGATCGGCGAGCACCATCGCAGCGTTGGCGACACCGACAATTTGGGGCATCTTGCAGCAGATCTCTTCGTGTGTCTTGCGCAGGGAAGTACCGTCTGTGACATCGCAAGCGAAGATCTGAACATTGCCCCCAGCAGCGGCCATCTCATCCAGCCAGACTTGGTTTACGGATTTGGGGTTTCGGGTGGTAAGGGCAAGATGCTTAGCCCCGTTCTGGACCATCCATCTGCAGAGCGCCTGTCCAAGACCCCCCGTACATCCGACCAAAAGATAGGTCTTGTCAGATCTGAAAAGCTCCTTGGTATTGATGGGGGCAATCTGAACAGATACCTCTGAGGCTTTTGTGAAATCCAGTACAGCGGGGTATGCTCGCGTCTTGGAGTTGGGAATTTGAGACAGTGAGACGATCTCAGGATCTTCAGAACGGTCGACGAAATTTGCAGCGACGAAGTGTGCCTTGAGAAGTTCATCGTGGAGATAATCTGGAGCTTCGTTATCACCAGAGCTAGGCTTCTTACCGAAAAGATCGTGGACCTTGGTCTTGATGCATTCCGCGGATCCTTGGAAAGCAGAAATGCTGGAAATCTGGTCCAGACCTGAGAAATCCAACACCATATCAATCTTGGCGGGGAGGATTTTGCGGAGGATTCGCTCCGGGGTATGTGGGTTGATGTAGATAGTTTTCGATCCTGCTGGGACAGGCAGCGTAGACGCAGAGAATATCTTCAGTCCCAGTGCTTCGGCTGTAGCTTGGAAAGCGGAAGCTAGGCTTCTGTCCGGTCCCAAGAAAAGGACGGTGGATCCATGGCGAAGCTTGGAGAACAGGGCGGTGGAGACGAAAGTGCTGGCAACCGACTCGATGAACCTCGGAGGAGAATCAACCTTGACATAGATCGGAACTACCTGCGAAGCTGGAACATCGATAATAGAAGCGTTGATGTTGGAGAATGCGAGAACATCCTTGCCGGACGCAATATCGCCACCTTCAACAACCTTGCCGATAGTAAGGTACATATGCATGTTCTCTCCAACCTTGACAGCTGATAGCAAGGAATGAGTAACCTTGATCTTGATAGCGGAAGTATCCTTAGTGGCGATCATGGATAGATGAGGTTCTGAAAGAACGTATGATCCCTCGGACTCGGATACTACGACTTGTGTCTCGGCTGGCGAAACCTTCTTTTGGATCGGGCGGCGGCGAGCATTCAGTCTATTATTCAAGATTTGATCTGCAGTGATACGAGGAATCAGAAACTTGCCATTCTTAACAACAAGTTCGGACTCAGCCGTCCAAAGAATGTTGGGGCTAGCAACTCGAATAGCATCGTCGGCGAATAGTCGCAGGGAAGCTGCGGCGATCAAGTCGTTGCTAGTTTCAGCCTCGGATGGCTCAATATCCAGAAGCTGGAACTGGACATGGGCATATTCCGATTGCATACCGCGTCCCACACCAACGGACATGTTCGCGTAAGCATTCTCGAGTCTGCATCCAGATGTGACCCATAGGACTTGGCGGGCTTGATCGACTACACTTCGAAGACCAGTGATCGTTTCTTGCTTCAGATCTTTCCAGATCGGCTGATCCAAATCTTGGATGAAAATGACAGATGTAAAAGGAGTAGTGTGGAGATGAGCTTTGTCAATGCTGTCGATATACGAAAGCTGTGGCAGTTCGTTCCCAAGTCGTCGGCAGGACTCGGAAATATATGCCGTGATCTCGGCGTTTCTGGCCTGGTTGCCGCCAATGATGCAGATATCCTTAAGAACAATAGGCAATGCTGGCGGGCACAATGGCTCTCTCAAGAATTTAACCTCGTCGGAGAGTGCCTGAGAAAGTACCACAGAAGTCATGAACATCGGGCGATCAGCGAGATCATTGGTGACCTGATCCACGCCAGAGAACCCTGTCTCCTTAAGAAGTGAGGTCCATTGAGACATCGAAGCAGCAGGGCCAAAGCGGCGGCTATCTTCGTCTCCCAGCCACCAAGCTGGCAGACCTAAGGTCATAAACTTGACGCGGAGAACATCCGGGACGCTGATCTCCTGTAGCAAGACATATCCGCCGGGCTTGAGGAGCAAGCGAATATTCTCCATGGTTCGCTGGAGATTCTGAGAAGTCTGAACCACGTTCGATGCGATGACCATATCAAAAGAATGCTTTTCAAATCCCTGTTCAGTTACATCGCCTTCAATCTCAAGAGGTTGAAACTTCATCTTGCCCGTCCACTTCTGCAAGTTCTCGCGGGCCAACTCGAATGATCTGTCCGTGGCGTCGGTGAAGGTATAGCTCTTGAAAAGATGGCCGATTTCTTCAAACACACCTTTTGTGACAGATCCGTTGCCAGCGCCGACTTCCAGGATCTTCATCCCGGCATATCGATGAACGACTTGGCCGACGGCTCGGCTGAGAGAAACATTTGACTCCTTGATTTGTTGGCCAAGAGCATAGTATCTGTTGAGCATATCATCCTTCATCATGCACTCGAGTAGGTTCGTCTCCCCACGGACGACGGACAAAAGGTTCTGCCCAACAGTAGTGATGAGCTGTATATCGACCTGATCCATATGCCTGGCGGCCTGTGTCTCGAGCCAAATTGGGTCATCCTTGGCCCAATCCGCGCGAAGAGTTGGGTGTTGGCCATTTTCTACGACAGGAAACAGATGATCGATAAATTGGAAGATACGTTGGTGGTTCCAAGAAAAGGTCTCGACCTCTTTTCTGGACACAGAATGGTCCAACTTGCGTAGGTACATGTAAGCAAGTCGCTCGCAAAGATCGACCATACTGAGCTCTTCGTTTGCATCCTCAGCAGAAAGGGCAGGTCTAATAGCAGTCTTGGATACTTCCGGTCTCCAGATTGTCTGAGAGTAAAGCTCAACATCGTTATCCGCGTTGGCACGCTCAAGCGAAGTACAGGCAAGCCCCTCAATCTGCAGCCTGGGAGCTCCAGTGGTTGAGTCGCATATTTCGATATCTGCGACGATCTTCATATTCTCGTTGCTCGTAATGAATGTATCGATCGTGACTTGTGTGGCGGGAGCAGCTTCATCGCGGTCTGTACTGATGCGAAGACACTTAATGCCCGTCGGAAGGTATGGAGAGGCCATTCCACCATCACCAGGGAAGTGAAGGGCAGCGAATACAGTCTGGAATGAGGCATCCATCAACGCGGGATGCATCATTGCCGGCATCTCAGGGTCCTCTGGATACTCGATAGCAGTGGCAGTGGCTCTGTTCATTCGACGGCTAATGCCGGTCAGACGGTGGAAAAGGCCGGTGTAGTTAAAGCCAATCTCAACCAGAGAGTTGTAGAAGCTCTCCACGTCAAGGGTGCTTAGAAGTAAAGGAGTATCATCCCGAACTGGAAGGATGATGTCCGGAGTGTTCGAGTCGGTAAGGACGACACGAAGGCGGCCCTTCATGTTCAAATCCCATGTCTCAGCATCCACTCCAATAGCCGAAAAAATACAAAACTCTGCCTCGATAAAGTCTTCACCATTCAAGGGTCCTTCGTGTGTCTTTTTCAGGGTCAAGAGTGTATCAACACCGGCGGAACCTTCCTCCAACGCGATGGCGCGGGACAACTCAATATCCAGCAGTTCCACCAACTTCGTCTGCTTATCCTTCGCCAGATCTTTTGATGCCTCCAAAGCCATCACAAGATACGCAGCACCGGGATACACGATTTGCCCTTGTACTTTGTGACCAGCCAGCCAAGGAGTCTCCGGAACTCGAATGGTGTTGCGGTACCGCATATCATGCTCCAAATCGTCTGGAAGTTGGGCGCCAAGAAGATCGTGGCGCGGCTTACTGCGTTGACGGTATTTACGCGAGTACCTGGTCTCGCCCCAGTATATCTGAGAGTGGTCCCAGGCGTAGGTTGGGAGGCCTGTAGCGAGCGCTGGAGCGACGCCGGATTGGAAGGACTGGATATATTCGGATGTTGTGAGGGCTGAAGGAGCGACGTGATTCATCAGTCCTCCGAGACAATTGGACATAGCGGCAATATCGTTGGTGAAGCGAGCGAGCGTTCCGCCATAGGGGAGGGAAACCCCGGTAGCGGCTTTGTAAGTTTGGAGGAAAGGGCCCTTGAGAGCTGTGTGCGGACCAACTTCGATAGCGAAGTCAAAAGGCTCTTCACCGAGGACCGCTTGTTCGACAGCGGTGGAGAAAAGAACCGGCTTAAGCATGTTGTCTTTCCAGTAGACACTTGTCAGAGCTTTGAGATCCACCTCGTCTATGATTGGGTCGCCAGTGACGCTAGAAACCCAAGTGCAGCCGTCGGAAGGAAGTTTTGGGTTAATGTGGCAAGCTCTAAGCGAGGCCATATAAGGAATGGAGACTGGGTTCATATGCTGGGAGTGGTAGGCTTTGTTGACCTTCAAGGCTCTAGCAAAGATGCCTCTATCGTCGAGAATAATTTTAGCCTCTTTAATAGCGTCAATATCACCAGACAAGGTCACGCTTTCAGGGGCGTTGCTGGCTGCTACTTGGATCCGTCCAGACAAGGCGGACTGAGCACAGAATTCATCAGCGTCCTCATGCGATAGACCAGCGGCCAACATCGTTCCCTCCTTGCCAGATGGACCCTGGGCAAGCTTCGTATGCAGTCCTCTGTAGTATGCGATCTTAATAGCCTCGGAGGCACTGACAACACCAGCCGCGTACGCGGCGCCAATTTCACCACTAGAATGCCCGACCACAGTGGTAAATTTGTGGCCAACAGAGCGCAAGATGTCAACAAGCATGACTTGAACTGCGGTGCATACTGGCTGCGAGAACTCGGCTTCGTCAATTCGCTTGCCGGCCTGTTTGTCGCAGATTACGTCTTCCAGGGTCCATGCAGGTCCGTCGGGCAGCCCTGCAAGTGCAGCATCGAGGTGGACGACAGATGCCTTCGCTATTGAAGATGAGAGCACCAGCTCGCGACCCATATTAGCCCATTGAGCACCTTGGCCTGTGAAGACGCCCAAGATGCGAGCGCTCTTCGATCGGTGGTCACGGCGCGTACCGATAGCCGCTGGAGGTGTTTGTTGTGTCTTCCCTATGGTAGCCGTCATGTTAGCCAGCAACGCTTCTCTGGTCGGTCCAGCGAAGGTGGCTTTGAGAGCAAGCTCGGACCGACGGTTCTGGAGAGTCCAAGCAAGGTCATTGAGATTGATTTGATCGTTGCTCGCAATGAAGTCGCGGTAGTTGGAAACCATGGTAGCAAGAGACGCCTCATTGTTTGCTGAGAGAACAAGGGGAATAGCCATTGGTGTTTGGGTTGATGCTGGCATAAGCTGCTTGCGATGAAGTGCTGGTGCAGGGGAATAGCTTTCGACGATGGCGTGGGCATTAGTGCCGCCGAAACCAAAACAGTTGACCGAAGCACGTCGGGGTTGGCCGGCGGGAGGAGCAGGCCAAGCTTGAGTCTCGGTAGCGAGTGCAAGGTGGTCAAGAAGGGGGAGGATCTTGGGGTTATAGCTCTGGAAGAGCAAGTTACCAGGGATAACACCGAACTTGATGGCATTGGCAGTCTTGATCAGACCAGCCAACCCAGCGGTTCCCTCGGTGTGACCCATGGCCGTCTTCACAGAGCCGACGATCAATTTCTCCCCTTCTCGCTTGACGTTCTCGGCAAAGAAAGCGTCTCGGATACCATTGGCTTCGATGGGATCACCAGCTGGGGTCCCAGTACCGTGTGCTTCGAAGTACTGTGGGCGATCGAGGGCGGAAAAGGGGTTCAAGCCAGCTCGACGGTAGACTTGTTGGATCAGACTTGTCTGAGCTTCGCCGCTGGGTAGAGTAATGCCCTTGGTGCGGCCATCGCTATTTACACCAGTCTCGCGGATAATGCAAGTAATGTCGTCTCCATCCGCAATGGCATCGGAGAGCCTCTTCATAATCACAGCCGCGAAGCCTTCACCACGGGCATATCCATTCGCGCCAGCATCCCACATGCGGGAACGTCCTTCGGCTGACAACATATGGAGATTGGACTCCGCAGCCATAAATTCAGGGTTGAGGATCAGATTCGCACCACCCGCAATCGCCATGCGTGCTTCTCCAGAGCGCAAACTCTGGACGCCGCGGTGAACCGCGACCAAGCTGGACGAGCAGGCAGTGTTGATCGTCTCGGACGGACCCTTCAAGTCGTAAAAGTAGGACAGTCGGTTGGAAAGGATACTGAAGTTTGTCCCAGTCGCAAAATAGGTCGGCAAACTCTCGGGACTGCGAAGAAGCATTTCGCAATAGTCTGCTGTCATAACACCGACATAAACGGCCGTGTCAGAGCCTTGCATAGCTTCCATCGTGAAGCCGCCGGATTCCATCGCTTCGTAAACAGTTTCGAGGAGAATACGATGCTGAGGGTCAACGGCCTCAGCTTCACGAGGATTGATGCCGAAGAAAGATGCATCCCACTCGCGCACGTTTTCTTTGAGGAGATAGGCGTGCTTGACATTGAGAGCTCCGGCTCTTTCGCCATTGGAGTGGTGGAAGCCATCGGAGTTCCAGCGATCCATGGGGATTGCTCGTAAGGCATCTCGCTTGTCGAGAAGCATCTCCCAAAGCTTGGAAGGCCTGCTGGCTCCGCCTGGGAATCGACATCCGGTCCCGACAATGGCAATCGGCTCTCCTCCTCGCATGGTGAGATTTTGAGAAGCTTTGACGGATACCATTTTGATAGAGTGATGGGTTGTAGTATTGTATACTAGGATTTATACAGGATCAGAATCAACGAGTGATATGTGATTGGAAATACGAAATCGAGTTTGTGTTTGATGTCGGTGATCTCTCTGATCTGATGAGTCGGGGATCTACAAGGACTGGATATCTTCAACGGGACCAAGTCGCGCTAAGTATAGCAGTTAAGAGTAAAGGATGTAATTCTGAAGTTCGATGTAGCGATGATAACTTCGAGGTTAAGGTTATTGATGGGAGAGGTCCGGTGACTCGGGATGAACAAGTCGAAAGTTCTTGGCCGGGAGATCAAAAATAGTTCGAGTTGATGATTGAGTGGCAATGGGGAGTCCTGGAAAAGATAGCGAGTCGAAGTTTTTCAAAGTCGGGAAATTTTGAGTAGTTCAAGTCGAGTATTCTCAAGGGTCTGGGTTTGGTTTGGACAAGGAAATGAAGATGGGAATTCGAAAGTCTACAAACCGCGGTACCATGACTATGATATACTAAATCCTGAAATATCGATACCTCGCCGGCTGATGTGAACTGGCTCCCCGCCGACGAGAAAACTCTTACGGCGTGATATCCCAGTGCAGCAAAGTCTCCGCCCGTGGCTTGTCGGAGGTTTGCTGCTGTTGACAGCTTGGTCATCCTGGTCGGAAGGTTTCTGCACCACGAAGCTTTTTCTAAAAGCTTATCGTGGTACTAAGAAATGCTTCCCAGGCAAGAGGTCTTCCATGCTGGAAAGGGATTGGATTGGGTACTCAGCCACTGGGGAGTAGCAAGAAAGCCACCGATTCAAGTGACCCAATTCATGCTCTGACACCGAAAATTACATTGAGAAGCTGTCTTTAAGATCCAGAATGTATGCTGGAGAAACGAGGTCGGATGTTGAGGACGACTTGGGGAAAAAGTGAATATATCGTGCAGTGGTTCCGGCTGGCGGCGATGCTGAAGATCTGCATTAGGCGCAATCAATCTCAACCATTTGGGCTTCGACACTTCGAAGACTTGATAATTACTTTGTAATCTTTAGTTTTCTCGTATAGGAAATACAAAGTATGGCCTGAAAAGACTACCAATTGGCATGCAGCTCTGGATCTTGCGAAGTCAAGAACACCTCGCTCGACCTTGAACTTTTCTGGAGCCGGGATTTGTCTAGACTTGACAGAAAATTAAAATTAAAGCATAGCATAGATACAGCTCGATTAAAGCAGATATGATGGTAACAAGAGTGATCCGCAATCGGAAGTCGTTATGGGAGTCGAGAAAGCAGAGAGAGGTTGATCGTCGCGATTCGCGACGCCGTCCAAAGTGAAAACTCTATTTTGCAGGCTCTTGGCGTGAATATTACCTGTAGTAATGCTGGTGACTTTCATAGATATGAAATATATCAATCGGCCGTCAAAGGAGCTATTGCATAACACGCTGGTATCTGCAGCTCCTAGAGCAATCTTCTATTCGATGCTCCGGGCATGTCTGTGACCTGTTAATATCACGTGTCCCAAGATTCCCAATAGCACGGGGAGCTCTGAAGTATCTGTATCTTCTTCTCCATAGGCCGCCGTTTGTTACTGGCATCCCACGACGGCCGCATCGATATTTTTTTTATGCATACATGTGTTATTCTGAAACATATCAGTATTGCTGTACCAGATTTCCAGGCTTGACTGAAGCCGAAAAACAATATCACGTTTTAGGCAGCGCTGAGTGCATCGCCATATGAAAGCATCCAGTCCATCGCCAACTTGATATCGCCGACGCGCCCAGTCAGCGATGATCACGATCCAGATGTTATTTTGGTACCTGCGCCGTGAGACGTCGGCCAGCGATGCTGTGCTTTCGACATAATGCAATCGTCCGAAGTCCATGATTACCGCTCGTCTCGACTTTCCACGTGCGAAAATGGTTGATGACTTCAGCTGATGCCGAATTTAGATGACCCGGTTCCAGTAGTTGTTCACTCGCAAACTACAAATAGCAGAATTTAACAAATCTGTGGGAAATTCGGTGTCTTTCGCTCGGTGGCTGTTCAAAGATTCAGCTGCGGCTTCTGAGGGCAACTCGGGGCTGAGCCACTGAATCCGTGAATATACTGTGCCGAGAAAAATTCAGTCTGACAGAAAGCACCATCGGGAACTTATCGAAAGGTAAAGAGAGCCTCACACTGGCATTGGCTGATACGATCGAGAAATACTTAAACAGGGAGATTTCTTCTGAAGATCATTCATACAGCATCAGCAACCTTCGCAGTCTATTCACTTCAACAACAAAGTACAATACTCTATTCTGACACCCACAGAGTCCGGCATATTCATCCTCTCTGTTGCAGGCATTGTTGCTACTTTACACACTACTCTTATCGTCGTCTTGATACTCTTCACCGGCTGCAACAATGGTCAAATCAGTATTCTCCGCCGCAGGAGCTTACCTCGTGGCTGCCCTGTCGGCTAGTTCAGCATTCGCAGTTCCAACCGAGGACCACTATTCAAAACCAGGAATCTCGAAGATGATCTTCATGCCCGGGAAGGAATCGATTCATGGTGCAATCATGAACCTTACCGTGGGCAACCCTCCTCAGTCCGTGGGTCTCCTCAGCGATTGGACCTGGCAGTCAACCTGGATACACACTCCGGACTGTGCAGGCGTCCACAGCGTCGAGAGATGTATCCTGGCGGGCCAGCAGTACTTTGAGCAGACCAAGTCTTCGACATTCAAGAACACGACCTACAAGCAACAATCCTTCCTGGGGACTGATTATACGCCTGGCATTCCTTTTATCACGACCTTCGGCAAAGACACCATATGCTTTAACAGTGAAGTTGATGGCAGCCAGAAGTGCTTGAAGAACACCGTGATGCAGAACACGAATCTGACCAACCCGCTCCCGGCTGTCTTCGATATCGCAGGAGTATTCGGCTTCGCTCCAGTTCTCAGGGGTATGAACGAGACTTTCTTTTCAGCACCCTACCAATTTTTTAAGGCCGGGGTCCTCGATTCAGTGGTGGGATGGCACATGTGCGAGCAGCTCAAGGACTCCAAATCCTGCCACGGGCAAGACTACATGACCGTCCTCGGCGGCACCGACCAATCTGTGTACGATCCCAGAGACACCGTCTTCCACGACATCGTGGTGGATGACTGCATCAACTCGGGCGAGCACCTGTCGTTGAGCCCAGCCCGCACCAACTACTGGTCCTCTAGATGGACCGGTCTATGGATCGACCACAAGCCCTTCTCCCTCAAGGCCACCAACTCCCCGAACTACAACGCGACGACCAGGAACCCTCGGTGCGACTCCATCGAACCTATAGCCATCTGGGACGAGGACAAGTTCGGCCACGGTGCGCCCATGCCCTGGGACGCGTTCAACTACCTCGTCAAGAAGACCAGCGCCACCCCGCTCGACGTCTTCAATCTCCCGGGAATTTCGCCCGTCAACCCGGGCGCCGGCGGCCTCCACGAAGTCCCTTGCCGCAAGATCGAAAGCTTCCCGACCATCTCCTACGAGATCGGTGGACGGCAGCGGATCTCTTCGGTGCCGCAGCAGTACATCGACACCACCCTCATTCCCGGGAAGTGTCTCCTGAACGCCCGCGTCTGGGACCGGCCGGTTGACGGGGCCCAGACCTTCTTCGGCTTGCAGGTGCTGAGCAGGACTTATTTCCAAATCAACTATGCTACCAACCGGGTCGGACTGACCCCTTTGAACCCGCGACTCTTGAAGTAGATAGTCACCGCGGGGCCCTTGGAGAGAAGTCATGCAGAAGATGGACCGGCTTTCCTTTTCCTTTTCGATATTTATCAACTGCGAGTCTCTGGAGTCATAATCGTTTGCATACATCTTTTCTCGCGTTGAACTGAATTAAATTAAATGACAAATTTTTCATAGTTTTGTTTAATCGTCGATTGCCTTGAATTTGATTTGTAAAAAACCCCGACCTGGCACACCCCGGATACTGACAGCAAAACACTTATCCAAATACACCTACTAGTATAAACAATAAAGGAAATCTGCATGCATAAAAAACATTGCTATACACACTTGCATTATAGATATAAAGATGTATCTCCCGGTATTTGTTGCAAGTCAAGCAATTAAAATGTACAGAGGTACAGCGGCCGCTGTACCTCTGTAGTGAAAATATACGTAGCTAAAAACTGTCTTAAATATTTAAATTTATCGAGGAATATAAACAGTTATTATTTTCAAACGAATTCGTATATACATTAATCGAGAAATATAGAAAATTATTAGATCATTTCAAAATCTTAGAACGAGCGTTCAAAGAAACAGTTCCAAATAATTAGACAAGGACGGCATAGGACGGTTTTTTTCAAGGAGACAGTCTATTAGCTAAGCTGTTCCTGAATAGAGCTTAGTACTGAATTTAGGCGGTCTAATAACCGTCTTCTATAAAACAAGACCAGAGCCCTTTTAAGCCAGTGTCCATAATGAATTAGAACATAGGGGATCATATAACCGCTGTACCTCCCTAAACGGCGTTAGGGAAAAAGTTCCTCTTTCATACGAGGCTACAAGCACTTTTTTCAACAATCCCATTTTCGAATTAAAAAAAAATCATACGGAGTATAGCGAGAGCGGATTTTGATTAAGCTTAATCGTCTGTTACTTTAAATAATAATTCGAAAAGAAAAAATTTACCGACCTGGCGCAGAACCAGTCGGGATTTTTTACAAGTTAAAGTTAAGGTAACTGATAAGTAGAATCGGGAGTGGAGAAGGTGTAGTAGATTAGGTGTGAGAGTACTGAGAGCTATAGTAAAAGGAGTAGCCAAGAGACCAGCCAAGAGGCTAGTCCATACAAGGGAATACAGGCAGAACCCAATATTCCAACAGTAACCGACGATTGTTCGCTTCGCCTCGCCTCATCTTGCCGTACTAGCCACCTCTTTTATCAAAATCTCGAAGCTGCGTTCAATCTTTTTGTAAAGCAAGAACTTACACCGCTCTATCTCTCCTTTTCTTTCTGTTTCTTCCTTTGTTGCTTTGCACCGCCGCACTGTACCCCGCCACCTGCGCCTTATCTATCGTACGTACGTAGTACTCAAGTTGTACGTTGTACATACCGTACGCCCTTCATCCCTGCCGCATGCCGCTTGCCGCATATCACCTCCAGCTCGTCCCTTTGTCTCACGCACCTACCTACTTTCTTACTTACGTCCTAAGCTATACATAGTATTCATGTGCTGGAGAGATACCAGAAGCATAGAAGGAATCGCAACGGGCGATCAAATCTTTTGGATTCAAGGCTTTAGGCTTCAGGTTTCAGGTAGCGTCTAATTGTAACCGAGAGCCCGCAGGTTACAAGGCAGCGTAAGCGCACTGGCTATTATTTACTTGTTCGGGATTGTGAGAAATGTATAGGTGGTGTGTAAGATGTATAAGGTCGAGATCTCTCCGGTGAGGGATTGTAGGATGTGAGAATTGTTGTCGTGGAGGCAGGGAAGGGGAGCAGAGTGTCGCGGTAATGAAAGAATATGAAGAGGGAAAGAAGAAGGAGGAGGAGGAAGAGAAGAAAAGCTTCTATTGTACGAGCTGTTAAGATCAAGTTGAATTATTCTGAGATAAAGATGCTTTGCAAAATGGATATCTTTACCGTACTTACTCGCGGGTTAGATTAGTTGGATCAAGAAGGAAGGGGAGGGAGGAACGGAAACGGAGACGAAAAAAGCTGAGAGAGTCTTGACTCGCATGTACCCAGCTGAGCAAGCAAGCCGCAGCGACGCACGTTAGCTTCTGGCTGAACGGATAAGCCAATTCGGCCTGAGAGTTGATGTTTAAAACAAAAGAATCGTATGCCTCGATGCGTAGTTAATAGAGCTATATATCTCGAAATTCGGTGATTACCCACCCCAGAAATCTTACCTCACAGAGCTGCGATCTCTGGACTCGACTACTCGAGGTTCCGGCCCAGCGTTTTGGGTCCGGTGGTGTACGTACGACATGTGTAGGCAGGACTGGACTTGGTATCCTGATCTGAATGAATGCACGAATGCATGTAGATAGGGTAGTACTCTACTGCTCCGTAGTTTATTCTTTTGGAAAGGGTGCGGCAGGTGAGATGCAGCGGCATCTTAGCATATATCTTGCATGCTGTTCATCTATCCGTCCATCTATCCACGCTCCAAGCTAATATAGCGCTCCTTTGTCATTTTCAGTTGTATTAATTGCATGCATTGCACGTCAGCCAGCTATAGCGCAACGAACTCTCTCAAAAGCCTCATCGCCGGCTCAGATCAAAACATCCTATTAAAAATTGAAAGACTTACTATACATCTCTAAAATAAACAACAAGCTTCCCACCTCTCCCCCGGTCTTTATATCGATTTCATCAATGACGGTCGCATGTTTTGTTTTAGGGAGTCTTGTCATCTTCTCATTTAGCCAGGTGAAGGCCATACATAGCTGGAGTTCCGGCCGCGTCCTCTAGCGTGTTCGCTTTCTCCAGCGCATATCATCTCTCTGCTTATTGCCGATTTAAATTCTGGAAAGCTAGCTTGGCTACAGCCTGCCAGTTAGTCAGTCTACCATCTAATCAGCCAGTCAGCCAATCAGTAAATTAAAAATATCCATTTTACAAGTACCGCAAAAAGAAGAAAAAGAATGTAAAGCTTACTTAAGAGATCTTAAAATATATCACATCTTACATCCTATATAAAACACAACCCCATCCATTCAAATATCCCAAAAGCCCCCTGCGCAAGACCCACGCAATGCATACCCTTCTCCTATTGGACAGCATTCGAGTGGCTTAGAGCCTATTCGAACTTCGGAAAGCTGCAGCGCACTAATAATGCAAGTACAGATTCCTCCCATTCCCCCGAGTAAGCCCCCCCATCTCCAAAACATAACCATTTCCCAGCTTTGGAAACTGACTCGCTTAGTTATCCGATCTACCCATTTCCTCCCATCCTTCCTTCCACATTCCGCCAACTTAATCGCACAAGAGGCACATCAGTTTTCTCTCTTGTCCAAAAACCCTTTACGAAGGCTACTTTTATATTTTCTTTTGTCCTTTCTTTCTTTGTTTCAGGATATAAGAAAAAGATAAGATCGTAAGTAAAGGTTTTTTCTTTTTTAAAAAAAAACAAAAAAACAAAGAAGATCCGGGATATATGCTGCACCCGCTGCCAGGACTGGGCGGCTGCTGGATTATTGACGGACTGACTAAGGGGGAAGACTTAAGCGTACTTCGTATCCGTAAGGCAGAGTATATATGTTTACAAGTATATACGTTTTTTAAACATCATAAATTCCAATAATTTCCACCACATTATTGACGCCGGGAATAAATTAGGTGGGATTCATGAAAAAAAAAAGAGAGATGGAAAAAAGATATCTATTGCGTGACTCCTGCAGCTAGCTAGCTAGCTATGCTTGTATACATATGTATCCTATGGTAATGAGTATATACGCCGGGGGTATGTTTGAAAAGCCCAAAAAATTCAAGAAAGCCAAAAAAAAAAAAATTCCGTCGACCTGGGAATATTGAATGCACGCACCAATCCAAACGGTAAACAAAGAGGCAGGCCAATCAGGAATATGCAAATCAAAAGCGCCAACAACGCACACAGCGCTAATAACGCACAACGCCCAAGGCTTTATTTTGCGGCCACTCATGCCCAAAGAGCGGTGAAACCCTCCTCGTCATGATTCCGAGCTTCTTGCAGCTTCGAGCTCTCAGCCAGGTTCTCGATCCGCAGCAATTTCGCCTGCAGGGCCCGTTCCCGCTCGTGGATCTCCTCGAGTTTGAAATCTATCATGCTGACACTTGGGCTCCGTCCAGCCGCCTGTCGGCACAGGCCTAGGCGCGACGGGATCGATCTGCCGCCGCCCTGCCGCTCCTGTTGCTGTTGCTGCCGGGGCGGCTGCAGCTTGAGCAGGTTCCCATGCAGGGCCGTCTTGAGACGGTGCAGCTGGTGGGAGATGACCTGCAGGTGCAGCAGCGTCTCGATGATGGCGCCGTAGGGCACGACGAAGGAGCCGATGGAGAGCGCCGAGGTGAGGGCGATGGCGTGCATGTCGAGATGGGCGAGCTCGAGCAGGCGGGAGGACATGGCGTCGAGGGTGGCGTCGTAGGCGGAGAGCAGGCGGACGTGGCACTTGAGCATCGTGTAGAATGTCGAGGTGCTGAGGGCGCTGCTACTCTCGGGCGCTGCGGCTGCTCCGCCGAGGAGGAGACCCGGGTCGAGACTGGTGGAGAAGGTATTGTTGTGGGAATGGAGGGCTGAGAATGGCCGGTTGGTGGTGCCGAAGGACCCGTTTGCTTGGTCTGGCTGGTACCACGGTGAGGGAGAAGAAGAGCGGCTGGGGACTAGACTGTCGGATGACTTGCAGATGCAGGTAATGAGCTCGATGAAGCGTTCGGCTGTAGAGAGTAGGACGCCAAGGGCTTCGGATAGCTTCTGGCCCTCCGAACTGTAGGCGGTTGAAGGTGTGCTCATACGACGGGCTTGGTGCGTGATGCTTTCTGAGCAGGTTTCGATTTCGGATTGAAGCTTTGACAGTTTCTGGGCGTGCGTTGAGTCGTTGGGCGGGCTTATGGCCGCCATGAGGTCTGGCATGCCCGCTGTGGAGGATAAAGTGGTGATTGCTGGACTGATGGTGGGCATTTCCATGTCCGGGAAGGAAGATATTCTAGCAGAAAACCCGTCATCAACCGGAGGGGACATGGAAACTTGGTCCGTGTAGAATTGCTGAGTATTTGACTTTCTCTTTTTTGGATTCGGCTCATAGAAGTTTGGCGTGAAATTTGCTACAAACTGTCAGATAGGTTCCTCAAAGGCGCCAAAGAGCACTACCTACTGTCAGAGAAATCGGAAAGATCCATGTTATCAAAATAGGCTTGATCGGTGGTGCATTCCAGCAAATCCGCATACTCGTCGGTCGACATCTGTTGATTATATGGCTGAATTGGAAGTAGAGCCGGGGATATTGACAACAAGGAATTCGACGCGAATGCGTCCACCTCCCAGCTCATCGGAATATAGGAGTCTGGCAAAGGGGTTGAATCGAAACTCCCTTCGCTCATCGACTCTGTGCTTTTAGTCCTCGTGATACCCATCTTCTTGTCCCTGTTCTCCAAACTGCCGCCTGTTGCTGAGCTAGATCTATTTGGTGTTGTCTTTCTCTCATCTTGAGGTCGATTGTTTGATGACTTCCGCGGTCTGCCTGTCCTTTGCGCAACGCTGACGTTGCACAGTACGCCTGCCCTCTGGCATCGAACACATGGCTCCCCGTCCTGAGGTCGTGTGCACCTGAGCTTCTGATCATGACATCGATCGCAAGCCAATCTCTTCACTGGAGACGAGTCTTGCTGTGGCTGGGTAGGTGGAGAGAACATGGTGAAGGTAGATGAGCGTAGGAGAGGGAAAATATGTCCGTCAATGAAGATCTTGGGCTTTGTCGACTTGGCCCGGTAAGCACGACTGTGATATATGTTCAACCAAAGAGATTATGATCATCGATCTCAGTGGAGAAGGATATATCGTCTGGAAAGAGGAACCTCTCATATAGTAGTATGAATCAGATATAGGGGTCACCTGGACGTACCCTCCTGGCGCTTGACAATTCGCTTTGCGCAGCCTTTCTGTCAGCCGGCGGTAAGATCGCTATGCCTCGCCCTTTTGCTGACTTTGTTTTCTCATCCCATCCAGCACGAGGAGAATCTGCAAGTGCTTGTCGTCAAGAATGAGTAGTCATGGTTTGGCAAGAAAGCCACAGTAAGGCCAGTGAACTGCCACGTTTGAGGGATAGCAGCGGAAGGTTGAGCTCAAAAACTGTAGAAATCAGTCAGTGATTGGGCTCAGCTGAAACGGAATGCAGATTAAGCCGTTCCTGCGGTACACGTAAGTAAGTCTTCTTTCTCCGTAGCGCCAAATACCGAATCCCAATTTACACCCCTAGCGTGGTTCAGCCACAGCTCGTGGAACAATGAATGGGGAAAGGTACCCGCGAGGTCACATCTACGCCCCTGAAAGCCGAAAGCTTGATTTCCTGCCTTTAAAGAGCTTGGAATATGACACTCTTCTTTTAGTTCAACCCTGGCCGAGGATACCAAAATGTGCCATGCTTAAAATAGCAGTGGCTTGAGTCAAGTTCAAGACTCGTAGGGGTTTAGAGTAGCAAGATATGAGCTACGAATTGGTCTATGTACTACAAAGTTAGCATGGTAAGAATTGAATTGTGACAGTCAGTCAGTCAGGCATGGTTAGGATGGATGGGACTGGGTTTGATGAGGAAACGTACAACGAGGCATCCCGCGAGATGGGAGCGAAAGACATGAGAATTTCGCAATATTAGGCTAGCGGTACGATCGATTCTTCGTGAAAGCATAGATTTATGAGATAAGGCAACCACCATAAAAGTAATTCGCAGTGCAATAATTGCGGCTTCAAAGAGATTACTGCTGAGGATCTTACCCTCGCCTACGTTCGCCTCGCCTACGAGCTAGAGTCTGCTTGTAGCAATCCCTGGTAAGGATAAGGAGGTGTACTTCTACGAGCCGTCTTAAAAAAGGAGGATAGAAGTGCTAATACTTTTGCTATTGCCATCGTGGTCCAAGGAAGGTTTGAAATAAGTAGTTGCGCTTGGATTTTCTAACAAGAAAGAAAAAAGTATGAGAACAAAAAAAAAACGTGATCCACCTTCCACTCCAAAGTCTCACTCGTAAAAGTCTCAATCCTCACAATTACTGTGACATAATACCAAAGCCCCCCTCCTCGTATCACACATCCACTTCAGCCTCATTCCTTACCCACCCATATCCACCATAGCCGCAATCCCAGGTACAGACAGGGCACATATCCAAAAGATGCACGACCGCCATCTTACTGTACGTCCGCACTTGTCGCATTGCGCCGTCAAGACTACCATCCAAAGAACCTCCTCCGAAACCAAGGTGCGCGCTCATCAGCTCATCAGCTCATCCCCTGGAAAGATACAACGTACTCCTCCGTACCCAGAGTCTTTCTTGACACTAGAATGATATAATATACATATTTCTGTACACCCTACCCGCGCACGTATCGTTCGTTCCATTCACATCAAAGCCCTCGTAAGATACTTGCTAACACAACATATAAAAAATCCCACCTTAAATGCAGTGCAACAACTACGTAACCCACTAAGTACCTTGCCAAAAGAAGCGCATCCTTCTTTCCCTCCTTCCTTCCTTCCTTCCCACTATACTAGGATAGATTCATTTATCTCGTCTCTGACATAAGAGCCTCTCTCTCTCTCGCCCCCCCCCTCCCCCCCCCCCCCAAAAAAAAAACCACGTTTCTTATACCTGCTCCCAGCTTCTCCAAACCAGATTCTAATAATAACCCAGTAGTGGTGGAACCCACCGAAGGCGCCCCTACCAGCCAGCCTACAATTGCAGAGTTCCTGCAGTCCTCTCGATCAATCATGGAGACTTCGGAAGCACGAACTCTGTCAAGGCGGAGTAATATTAGCAATAGTCATACCTAGTAGAAATGATTCTCTTCGGGAAGGTATCCAAAACGCAATGCTTTAGACCCTGGAGACCTCCTATGGGGGTAGGGCGACGTGCTCAGTGAAAGTCTTATATCCAAAGTCCTTTCCAGATAAAAGATTAAAAACCACAAAGAAGGAAAGCTCTTTCCAATGAGTAAGTCCCGGGCAGATGGGATGTATGGCTCCGTCCTTTCAGAAAAATTACGGGTCGAGTTCATTCAGCAGGCTGTTGTTTAACGAAGACGGCATTATTGCAATTCTCTTTAAAATGATTTTTTCCCCCTAGAGATGGCTTTATTCTGTTATGAGGAAATGAAATGTTAGGTTAGGTTAGGAAAGGAAAGGTTGGCATGTATGTTTAGGTAGTTAAAGGGTTTAGTTTCTTAACTTAAATCAAAAATCAAATTGAATCAAGCTCAACTTAACTTGAAAAGTACATAAGGTATATATCAAAGAGAGGGAGGGAAAAGGCGGGTGTCTCTTTAACAGAGCAGGTACCTATCTACCTTAGCATATCATATTACCAAGTCAGTGGCAAATCGATAAAAAACTAATATCGAGGAAAGTACGTACGTAGGTAGGTAAAAGTAATCCGTAAAGATAATCTAATCTACCTGAACGAATCCAAATAAATCAGGCTACTAGCTTCCGTTTGCTACTTTCCGTTTACATCGGTAATTATATAAATGGCTACGATTCTATTTAATTGAAGGCATGTAAACCCAATCCAAGATACTCGAAACCGAATACGTATTTAACCTTGCATCATACACCCGTATGATACTAGTACTATCGTCAAGCGTGAAATCGCTATTATATATAGCTGCCAAATTATTATCGCTGTCTTTTTTTATCACTTTCTTTTTTATCGTCTTCGAAGTCGATTGCTTTCGAGCTCCAGGATGGCGTTATTGGTCATTGTTATTATTGTTGTTATTATTATTGTATTTATTAATGTCGGGCGGGTGGCAAGCTTTGCGTGCTGCCCTATGACCTTTTATAAGGTACGGCGACGTGCTAAGTAAAAGAATTATATACACAGTACTATCTCATCGAAAGTAAAAACATATTAAAGAAAAGCTCTCTTTTCAACAGTCTTAAGTCATTAATTCCGCGGTATCGCATAACCTTTATAACTCTTAAAAGCATTTCAAGTTGATATAGCGCAGCTGCTATCGATTATGCTTTTCTCTTACGGATAAAGTAGATCGTTTAAAAAGATTTATTGAAAGAAAGACTCATGAAACAAGTTGTAGCGTAAGTAACGTATATTTGTTGTTATTGTTTTTGTATTTACTAACGTCGGGCGGGTAACAAGCGAAGCCTGCCCCCTTAGGACCTCTTATGAGGTACGGCGACGTGCTAAGCTAAAGCGTTACGCATAAGCTAGCCATAGAAAGCAATTCAAAGTGCGACAGCGAGTGCTGCTATCGTCTGCGCCTTTTCTTTACAAATAAGACGGATCATAGTGAAAGGACATCTTTCGTCTAAGGAAAACAACAAAAGAAAGTCAAGCAGGCACAAACTGTTACCGGTATAGTCAGCTTAAAAGCGTAGCTGTGCGAGTCGCGAAGCAACTAATATCGAGGTCGGGCCGGAGTCAGCCGTATATGCACAGAGCAGTGCTAGAAAAGTAAGTAACGTACCAGTATACTACATATGTTGTTGTTGTTGTTGTATTTATTTATGTCGGGCGGGTAGCAGGCGAAGCCTGCCGCCCTAGGACCTCCTATAAGGTACGGCGACGTGCTAAGCTAAGGAGTTACATACAAGAAGGCCCTAGAAAGCAATTCACAGTGCTATAGCGAAGGCTACTATCGCATGCGCCCTTCCCTTGCAAATAGGATGGATCATATAGAAAGAAACCTTTCGTCAAAGGAAAACCACAAAAGAAAGTCAAGCAGGTATAGACTGCTATAGCTAGCTAGAAGCCAGCTGTTCAAGTCGCGTAGCGACGGGGGTCGAGGCCGGACCGGAGTCAGCCGAGAACAAGAAAGAGAAAAGGAAAAGGTCCAATGCAAAAGCCCAAACTCCAAAAGAAAGCCCAATATACCACGGTACAGGCCTAAGTACTACGTACTACGTATTACCCCTCGAGGGTGCCTTAAAAGTTTAGTTTCCACTTTAAACCCCCTGTTTTCCCTACCCTCGAGGGGTAATACTTAGGTCTGTACCGTGGTAATACAGCAATGCGAGAAAGAGTTCCCCCGGGAGCGCACCACGTTGTCCCAGAGTCCTAGTCCCGTCACAACGTACCAGCATACCGGTATCGGTATCGATTATCAAGATAATTCGAGGCCGGATCGGAGCCAGCCAAATAGTCTTTTCGCAAGCGCAAGATCATACTACGTACGTAGTAAATCGTCTTAAACTTTTCTTTATCTTTCTTACTCCGTCCCCCTTTTATCGCAGATCCTTTTAGTATTTTCAATCGGTATGCTCGTTGAGTATAAATCGTAACCGGCGCCGTACCGTAGTCGAAGTAAAAAAAGGCTCGTTCGGGTCGCCGATAAACAAGAAAATCCCTTCGAAAGACTATCTTGATTCGGCTCTCCAGACTTTCTTTGCCGCAGAAAAGAAAAGCTAAGGTTCGTAAGGGGCACCTCGTACAAGTAAAGAATCGTAGCCCTTCCAGAAAAGCGTTATTGACTTTCCTAGGTCCTCGCTTATTTAGCGCGCGGACTGGTAACCTTGAAAAGTATCATAAAAGTATACTAAAAGTATCATTTTTACTACTTTAACCTAGAATAATGATAGGATAACAACTTGATATTGAAAATTGGTAGAACTGAGTGGTACCAAGCTCAGTACCGTGCATCTTTTGGTGTAAAAATAAGTACGATTTAAGTATTGGTTAATCTTTTTATCTATACTACGTATAAGAGCAGATCCTACCTTCTGTCCCGCCTTGGTAATGCCGACTTGGCTGCGTATGCCAAGTCGGGGTCTTTTATAAATTGAATTTAAGGTAATCGACCATTACGTATGAATATCAAAAAGGGAAGGGTCTGTGTGACATAACAGGTACTAGGTACGTATCTACTTAGGTAGGTGGCAAGCAAATCATATTCCCGACTCGATGACGATAAGGATGACGAAACGTCGAGGAAAGAATTGCTACAGTCTGAGGGTGCCTCAAAAGTTTAAATCTCCACCTTAAACCCCCTAACTACCCTACCCTTAGGGTGTAACAATTATGCCTGTGACGTTGAACGTACGTAGTACGTAAAAAGTAATCCGTAAAGCTAACCTAAACTGATCCCATCTACCACGGTGCGGGCGTAATTGTTACACCCTTGAGGGTGCCCCAAAAGTTTAGTTTCCACTTTAGAGCCCCTGGTTACCCTAACATCAAGGGTGCAACAATCAGGCCTGGGACGTAGTAGCTACAATAGTGACGGTCATAGAAATAGAAGGGCCTATGTAATAGATAGATAAAGAAGCATATCATATCATCGAAACCGATGACGCCTCCTGCCTAATCGAATCACTCTGATAAGAAAGAGGTAGGTGATTTGGTCCAGGCCAGGTAGTCGTGAATACCTGGTCATAGACTTACTACGGTCTTCTGAATACCCGCAAATCCCTAAGTAATCAAAACCCTCTTCGCTCCTTTTACACAAAACAAAAGGGTTTGAAAAGACCACTTTGCTTGGACATACATAGATTCACGATACCTACGTAGTACTATCTATTCGAGGTATTCACGCTAGGTAAGTAACTGCGATAACCTTAACAAACCCAACCCCCTCGCAAGACCCCTCTCTAAGTATCTTCCTTTAACCTTATAGATCCGTAACATTCCATCGAACGACGGTATCGTTGCAATCAAAAGAAAGAATAACAAAGACCTCTGAAATCTGGATTCCATCAAGAACCCCCTTCTTTGTGGAAAAAAAAAAAAAAAAAAAAAAAAACCACGAATGATGATCAGCAACGATCGCCGCCGAAGATCCTTACAGAAAGCTTATTATAACAGAAAAAATAAAAATACGTAGAACCCCCTCAACTGTCCTCCTTGGAAAAGGTACCACCTACCTAGCTTACAAAAAAAAAGGAGGAAACCCCCCCCCCCGATCACTTTGTAGCTACTGAAAAACTGCTTCAACCAACCCTAAGATAAAACCGGGGTGGTTTAGCCAGAAACCCCCACCGCCAAACAAATCTCGATTCTGTCAAGAGTCTCCCAGCAGGTACCCTGTTTTCAGGAGCGCGGCTGCGTTTCACAAGTAGGTGCGTCGCGTGATTTTGGTTGTTCGCGAATGGTAAATACCTGATCTGGCTGCCTACCTACTTGAGATACCTGGCCTGGACCGACGCAAAGCAAAGCAAAGCAAAGCAGCCTTGATAACGGTCGTCGTAGCCCCGATCTGAACTACCTACCTACCGACCTACCCCTAAGGTAGGTTAATTAATATATAGATCGACGAGAAAGAAGCATGCATGTCATGTCATGATGAGCACATGAGTACATGTCCACCAGATCGATGACGCCTCCTACCTCACCTTACCTACCTACCTACCTAACCCCCAAGTCCCAAGTCCCAAGTCCCAAGGCCTAGTCGAAGAACTAGAACCAGAACTTGAACTTTTCTAATGAAAGCTAGCTAGTGAGAGAGCTGGTAGGAGTAATAATCATAATCAGCGGAATGAAAACCAGATCAGATGCCTCCCCTCCTCCTATCAGCACGAATCCATCTCCATCCCATCCAAACCCTCCCCATCGCACCCCAAGCCCAACCCCAAACCTAACCCCAAACCCAATCCCAATCCCAAATCCAAACACTCACCTTGACAAAAAGACTTACAATGCATTGAACTGCCTCACATCCCATTAAAACCATCCCTCTACTCCCTAGAACATCCACAGTAGCTAGCTAGCCAGCCGCAAAACCAAGGTTCAAACAAAACAATCCAAACAAAAAAAAAACCAAACCAAACAAATCACTCAAGCAAGAACCCAAAAGCCAGAACCCCAAAAAAGATCATAGAGCGGCGAATTATCTTTCTATCTGTCTATCGAATTAAACGCTAGACGAGGCTTAGGGCACTGTTTAGCCTCCTCGTCGCAGCAACCAACCAACCAATCAATCGACCCAATCAACCAACCGACGCCCTCGCCCTCATCCGTGTCAGAAAGGAATTCTAGTCGTACTATAATACAGATAAGGGTCAACTTTAAAAAAAAAAAAGCACGTCTATAGCGATAATGATAACCAAAAACAAAAGAGAAAACGCCGATTTTGTGGAATCGCTCCAGGCCACTTCTTTCTTCTCTTCTTCCTCTTCTTCTCTTTTGAATCCCTGATCCGTCTAGCCTCCTCCTCTTCTATTGATTTGCTGATATGAAATAACTCGCCGAAGAAGATTTGTTTTTCCCGCACCTCCCACTGTCGCAGTCAGTGATAGCGCCAAAGCTCTAATACCAAATCTATTTATTACCCAATCCTGAATGAGTCAAGAAACGTTTTTTTTTTGGGGAACCAACGGAATGCCCATTCTCTACTCCACAAACGAACTTCTTTCCTGGCCTTGCCTACCTTGGCCGATCACTCGGAGCCAATTGGTGCGCAGGTGAAAGCACCCCGTACCGCGCCGGAACTGTATTGATCTTTCTGAAGAGGATGTCAGTAACTGTTGGTGCTTGATATGGGGACAGATCGAAAAACTTACGATATCAACAATAGACGAATATGTCCCCCCGACCAAGACAATCATGCCGATGAGGAAGACAGCAACGTTGACCAAGCTCAGGAGGATGTTCATCTTCGTCGCGTTCCACTTGCCCTCCTTGAGGAGCATGAACCAGAAGATAGCCGGGAAGTAGAAGGTGAAGCCGGAGATGAACAATGCCGAGCTGATGCTGAGCAGATCCGAGAAGAAAGGAATCGCCTCCGCAATGACCCAAGCGATAACGGTGATAACAGTGATGAAGAGGATCCAGGTGAGCCATCCCTGCTTGGTGTTGATGAATCGCACAATGGAATCCTTGTACATTCGGCCGTGGAGGTAACGTCCAACGACAGTGCCGTTGATGGATCCAGAGATGAAGATGACGGGGAGAGCGACGCCGAATGCGATCTTGGCCATCAGGGGGCCGGCCGAGAGGAGAGCTGGAGATTCCACATCCTTGCCAACGAAGGCGTAGATGAGACTGCCGGTGACGGTGTAGATGACGATCTCGATGAGGCCGAGCGCCCAGATGGACTTGACGAAGTCCTTGGGGGTGTGCATTTCGTCCATGAAAGAGAACTGGCAGACCGCGAAGGAGTCTACACCGAGGCAATTGACGTCAGTGACGGGTTTCACGTGGCGCAGATACGTTTGCGGGGTGACTTTGACTTACATGCAAATACGATGTTGCTGATGGCAATGAAGCCGTCCGTGAAGCTGGTATTCTCCTTGGGCCAGGCTGACCAATCCGCTTGGGCAGGCATATCTCCCCGGGTGAGACCCGTGGCGATGACCGTAATCCCGATGGCGCCTATGATAGATACGAAATCGATATATCCCAGAATCGCTACGTCGGCGAAAGATGGGGGCAGGGCCAGGAGCAGGAGGATGACGGCCGAGATGACGCCAAAGACCAGCGAGCAGGTGCTACTCTCGGTGATTTTGAGGAATGCAATGGTCCCCGTCAGGCAATGGGATCCCACCAGGAAGATCAGCTGCAGCGAGAACATGGCACCGATCAGCTCGTATCCGAATTTCCCAGCGATCAGGCGTCCGGCGTCGGCGTAGTGGGCCACATGGGGGAACTTCAGCTTGACCTGACCCACGATGTAACTCGTGTAGATGGCGACGAAGCCCAGCCCGACGGTCGTGATGACACCGGGGACCATCCCCAGCGTCGCAAAGGCCGAGGGGATTGACAAGGCGCCGAGCGCGATGGCCTCGACCAGCAGCACGACGGTGAGCCGCTTCCAACCCAGCCGATTGAAATTCGCATGTCCATCACGCTCCAGGTCCTCGACGTCGCCGGCCACGACCCCTTGATCATCGTGACCCGAAATCTCCTTGGTGGGCTCCCACTGCGACTCGGCAGCGGCCATGCCTTTCTTGGTGGAAGATTTGGAGCCTGGCATCTCGATTCGATGTCTTTGGATTCGGGGGATGGGGGGGGGGGGGGGGGAGGTGGAGGAGGAGACGTGTGATGTTGAGGGGGG